GATAAGTCAATATGATAATTTGTTCACCGTGGCAAAAATCGCTTCAATTAGAAAATCCCTTGGTTTCACAAATGATTTAAAACCCCTTGGTGAACGAAATTATCAGGATATTAAAGAAACTGGTTCTAAACAGTCTAGATGGTTTTCATCCAATCAAAAGCGAGAACGGATAACATGCCTACAAACAGCGACGGTTGAGGGCGGAAAGTCATGCGTGAAGACAACGACCAATTGGAAACGATCAATTTGCATAACGCGTAAATCAAAGAAATCCAAAGGACATTCAGTGTGCTCTATATATTGTTCCCTTGGAAGACGGTTAAATTGGCCTACATCAAATAATTCAAACAAAATGGATAGCGACTCTAATTGTTCTTTCCCAGTATTTGAAATTGAAAATGTTGAAAATGTTAGAATTGATTCCCAAACTAACTCTCCGAATATACTACAACCTCAGATCAACTCTCCGCTTAAATTAGATGAAAATCTATTGAGTAGCGATAAAATAACTGTCATTAACCCTGAAATTGTTGCAACTACTAAAAATACACGGGATTCAAAAATTAATACAGTACTTTCTATACCTTCGAAATTTCCAGGCGAGCTCTTTCCTACCGTTAATCCGAATCAGCAAATTATGTCTATCATTCCCCATGATTGCAAGGTTATCAAGAAATCCCAAGCGTTACCAGAATTATTTAATTTAGAATTTGTTGCCTCAAACATACCGGCGGATGTGAACTTAGTACGAGTAAAAGAAGCATTGGAGAAGAAGATTAACTTGAAAGAAGAACTCCTGAAGATTGGGAAGTACTGGGCCCAATACGCAAACGATTTGTCATTACGAGACGATTGTGTGTGGTTGGATGGACGGCTGGTCATTCCTTTGCCATTACAAGTCCCAATTGAGTCGGGGATACATTATTACCATCACGGTAAAAGAAACATGTATGAAGCAGCGCGTGACGTCTGGTATCCCTACATGTACCGCAGTTTGGCAGCAAAAGCCACGTACTGTCAGCAATGCACGGAAGCGGGTAAGAACCTAAAATCGTTATTACCCAAGGGAGACATGGGGAAGGTCCCTGAACCAAGGGAACCCAATGAATGTAAACAGTTGGATTTCTGGGGGCCAATAAATTACTTAAATGAGAGTAAGAAATATGTCTTGGTTGCTATGGACCGCTTCTCAAGATGGCCATCAGCAATGGTTACTACCACTAACACGTCAGATAAAGTCTTAAAATTTCTCGATAAATACATAACTCATCATGGAGTACCTCGGAAAATCCACGTTGATCAGGGATCAGGTTTTACATCTAATAAATTTAAAAGCTTCTGTAACAACGAAGGCATCGAGTTAATGTACTCCCCAGTGAATGATCATCGAGGCACGGGGTCCGTTGAACGGACAATAGGAAGTTTCAAAAATTTTGTCCTAACATATGCGACTGAAAAAGAGCATAAGTCTCTAGAATCTAGGTCGATAAAGCGCTAGGCGCCCTACGATTTTCCAAAAAAGCAACTACTAAATTAACACCTTTTGAAGCTCACCACGGCCGGGAGGCCAACACCGTTTTACGAAATCTTACGAAAAAACCAAGTTTGAAAAGTTTGAATTGGAAGAACGTCTTAAGACAAAAATGTTTGTGTTTAGACGAAAATGATCTTGAGATGAGTAAAATTGCATTCCCTCAGCACTCGAATTGGGAGGAGAGGTCCGATTTGACATACGCTCCAGCTTTATGAAGGGCCCCTATCATGCTTGATAGCGATCAGCAAATGGACACATGTCCAGGAGAGGTATCGGGAGTTGCCCCGAAAATCCAAGGGGGTGGAGACACTGGCCCTAACATCCAGGGGAGTGGAGGCGCACGCGACCTATATCAGCGTACCACCAGCAAGACCCTAAACCGGTATAAATTATTAAAATCCATTGTAATCTCTGAATCCGAGCATACTATCAAGCTAAAAAACGGATTTGATCTTAGGAAAAGTGCAGTGGCAGTAAAACCAAAACCCAACCTTCCCAAGAAACGGAAGCCGGCTAGGCTCAAGGAGATGTTATCGAGCGCAAAGAAAGGGGCAGTCGAGAGCCCGAAATCGAAGAGAGCAAAGGCCATGCAAAACGTACCAGTAGCCACCTTCCAGTCCGACAGTTCGGATAGTGAAGATTACCAGCCATTAAATATTATCCCTGCAAGATTACCGATAGAAGTGTTAGCGAGACACGAAGCGATTGCGGCGGGACAAGGCCCAAGTGGCAGTACAGCAGTAGCAGAACGTGGAATGGGAGCAAAAGCAAAATCAAGAGTGACGAGAGCGAATCGGGGAAAAGGGGGTCAAGAAAACAAGTAAAGGGGAGCCAGGAACGACCGGCGTTAGTTGCGAGAGAGTGCCTTGTGAATAGTAGCCAAGAAGAAGACGTTGAATCTGGCAGTCAAAGTGAAAGCTCGGGAGTCAGAAGGAGTACTAGAAGAAGAATGCCAGTAGATAAAATGGGAGGAGTCATGATTGAAAATATCCAGGGGGCGGAACAAAAAGGAAAACATCCAGGGGGAGAAGGAAAATGAACCTTAATTTAAAACTCATTCAAAAACTCATTATCCAGGGAGAGGGATAGCCATAAGCCTAAAACTCAAGTTTGTTGTATCGTTTTAGTTGAGGCGGCAGGTTGAAGGTTTAATTATTATATTAAATTGAAATTACTATGTATTTAAATTTTACATCCATAAGGAAATGTCAGGGGCTACAATATGTTCAGTTGTCAATCATCTTAGTTGCTATTCTTTATTTACTTGTCTCTGAGATTTCTCATACTATAATTAAGTGTGAGTTTGGTACCTGCCTGTCAATCAACTTAGAACTCTCTAGCTGTTATGTGTTGACCTCTAGTTCACTCTCTTATTTATGCGAACTAGAATACAGTCAATGAGTATTTAACAGCCATCGTTTTATCAACCCTTGTTACTTGACACTGGAATTTGTTTCGAATTTTTTTCCTCTGGAATTGCGATTTAGAGATCTTTAATATAATATAGCAATCGATCCATTCCGATTACGATTTGTGGTACCTGATTCTGTGTGGCAAACAAAAATAACCTGAAACACACCAGAATTCAAAGTTCCTCCCCATTTTCAATGGTCAGAACAATTGACCAGGAAAACCCAAAATTACAAAATAATTGTTTTGAAGTGCAGACATTATAAAATAATCAACTTCATTGCAAATTTCCCCGTGAGTTCAGCTGGAAAACTTCTCATGCTAGAAGAAAGAATTTTAAGCTTTCTGCGCTTTCTTTTTAATTTTTTTTTGCAAAACTCAATCTCAATTAAGAAAACAATTCAATCAGAGGGTCCCAGTTTTAATCTTATTTTAAGATATCCCTTTAAGCTGACAAACCTTAAAACTTTTTCAAAATCCAACCTCGAGGAAATCCTAGATCCACCCTCGAGGAAATCCTAAATCCTAAATTACTAAGTTTACCATCAAAACATTTGTTTCTTTGGAAAGGGAAATGTCCTGACGGGGTTAAAGTTCAAAAAAAGCTTTTAAAGATGTTGAAACTGATTGATGGTAAATATGTTGTTTACTCAGTGAGACTCGAATACTGATTTGGTTCAAAGAACAGAAAAAAAAAACGAGATAAGTTTGAATATACAAAATGAGCGCGCAAAGTCATATTTTATTCATTATTGGCATTTGGAAATGGTACATGTATTTTTTGAATATGACTGTCTGGCGCAAAATTATCTGCCTGAGTACTTGAGAGGCGGTTCTACTAGAATAGGCGGAGTTTCATCAAGTCATATCAATATTTTAAAAACAAAAGAAAAGTTGTTCTTCTGGCGAGGGAGGGTGAGGGGAGAAAGAGAAGGGGGAGGGGGTTTGGGGGCTATTTTTTAATTTTGTTTCTCAGTTTTTTCAAAATGCTCTTTCCTTCGGTACTAATTTACGGCATTCATTTAAGCCGAACAAGTGCTATGTTTTTCTTACGGCGCAATGTTGGTGCCAGTATACTCTAATTTTGAAGAAGGAAGCGCATGCTTAAAAACTCGATTTTTAGTGTAAGTTTTTCACAAGGTAAGTCCTTTTAATGTGAGTCTTTCACATCTGCTAGCAAACTATCTCTTTTCAAAAGATTGAGAAAAAATAAAACAGCTGACATAGAAACATTTCTTATAAAACCGCCCAAATGACCGGGAACAAAAACAAATCCTGCCTACTTGACCGACTGTGATTATCTGTATCAGTTCATTGAAATGTAGCAAAGGAAAATAAAAATTTACCAACAAAACAAGGCAAAACTGCTTTATCGCAGTTTTTTGGTGTCAAAAGAGGCTTCGTTTAAATATTCAAACAACTCTGAGCTCGCTTTCACCACAGAGCTCATTTTAAATCATAAACACTTTCTTTCACATGCAATATTAACGGGACAACCCAAGCTTTCAAGTTTGTTTTGGAGATTTGAAGAATGGGAAGATTTAATTTTTGCAGTGGTGCATCAAAAACATCTGGATTTTAAGAAAAAAGGAAATGTAAATTATGCATTCATTCCATTCTCCGGAGGATGTCTTTGTTAGCTTCTACACAAAAACTACCAACTGATACCACTAAATAGAATGGCCAAACAGCAGAAAGAATGATTTTTTTCTATGATTAGTAATGATATTTCACCTTAACATGATTTTGTATGATTTTGACCGTTTTTATGAAAATTCTTTTTGGATTTCCAGGTCTTTAATTTGGTTTTTGGCTATTTCGAAGATGCTTTCATTTTAAAATGACGCTTCTATCTCCAGCTCAACTCAAAAAACTTTAATAGACTAGGGAACCCAAATTTGGAAACCCAAATACAAAAAAAATCCTTCTATTATTGCTGTTCTTGCAAAATTACTTTTATGCTAAATGAACAAATTATCAAGTCTTTTTTTTACCATCAGAAAAACCAAAGCAGCTTTAAATAAATAATTTTGTTTATTTCTACTTTGCAAACAGTTCAATTATTTATATTTTAATTTGAGCTGGCCAAAAAATTGAAATCGAAATTAAAAAGCTTCAAAAACTTCTTACTCAGCAAAAAATCCAATTGTTTTCTTTTTGCGTCAGCAGAAGTTATTACTTAATTGGTGCACATTTCACCTGAGCATAATCTACATTTAAAAAGTATTGGCTAATTGTCACCTGCGTCAGTTTTTGATCCAAGTAGTTTTGGCTAACTTTCACCTGTGTCACTTTTTGAGTCAAGTAGTTTTGGCTAACTTTCATCTGCGTCACTCTTTGAGAAGAGTACTTGCTTTTCTGTTTTTTCAATCTTCGCTCAAGACAAACAAAAACACAGTTGGTAAAAAACTATACATTCTCCGCTATAAACTTATAAAATCAGAGCTATTTTGGTAACAAAAATTCTGCATTCAAAATGAGATTCAAGTATCTGACTCTCACGATTTTCATCTTCGGATGTCTGGCAACCGGGGTCCAGGGTTCATCTCCAGGCGGGCAGCCTCGACCTGATGGTGACGGAGACGATGGCATGGATGATTTGGAGCGAGGACGATTCGAAGACTTCTGCGATCCAGAGGCCGACTTCGAAGCGATCAGAAGCACAGCCGAGAAAGACTTCTGTCGAGATTCTCTCGGAAACAAGTCGTGTGGTGTCGCTCCTTGTGAACAAATATGTCACTCGATGTTCGATGACGACAGTGATTTCCGACCATCAAACGCGCGAGGAGGTGGTGGAGACCGAGCCGGTGATGAAGAACCGAGAAGAGCCCGAAGTGCCGGAGCCACGGGACCTTCGAGAATCGACGTGAAACCCCCCTGTGCTCTTAGGTTAGATTTTAGTTTCTTTTTGCAAAAAAATACACAAGCCATGCACTCCAATACTTCAAAAAATAGGGCAAATTTAAAATTCTATCTGACAACAGTAAACCGAAAACTGATATCTGTGTCCAAAATAATTAACCCATGTTTAAAGGGAAAATAACGAGTGAGTTTTGAAGCATTGCTGCAGTATTTCTTGATAGATTTGGTGTGTAATCAGATGCGGATATAGGACTTTCTCAAGGGGGGATTTACAAAAAATTATCGAATTTTTGGAATTTTTTTTTGGTCCACCAAACTCATTTTCCGAGCACACAGAAATATGTAAAGACTATATTTTGATGAAACTTTCTGAGTCGCAGCAAAAAAAAACAATTAAAAAATGCTGTTTTTGGGCACTTTTTAGAACTTTTCGTCGCTGAAAATTCGTCGCTGAAAGAGTTCGTCGCTGAAAATGAATGTCATAAAATAATACCAAATGAGAACCCTTTGTTTCGTGCTGAGGTTGAAACCCTGAGGGAAATCGGCGTCCCTCTTAATTCGCATCTGTGTGTAATGCAGAGTTAATTTTTCTCTTTGAAACAAGAAGCAATTTATTTCTTAGTAGCAAAAAGTTTTTTTTTTTAATTTTTTTTTCAGCGATTCCCGATGCCGATGTGAGAATTCAATGTTGAAAGTGACCGAATTTGACGAATCGAAACTTGAAAACGAAGACGCATGCATGAATCTTCCAATCAACATGCCGAATTGTCACCAATCAATCAAAGACGCGATCTCGGAATACGCGTCCAATTTCACTGATATGCCGTTCCGAAAAGTCGTGTCTGATTTCCTGGCCGATCCCCGAATCAACATTAACGAGACCGCGGCTGTTCCGGCGGACTCTCTTTCGTGTCTGGATTGCACCGAAGTCGGTTGTCGGAACTGCATGCAGCGAAAAATAATCTTGGCTAATTTGATCAAATGTGGCAACCCGCAAGTGGACATCGCATCTTTCCGCAAAAACTCACGTAAAAAAAACATAAAATTGTTTCAATTTGAAAAAAAAAAATAGAAAAATCAATTGGCTTCATTTCAAAAATTAATAAATTTGCATGATCGACTCATTCTGTTCTACGTGCTCGGCAATAACTGACGGGCTACTTATGCTGAAATGTGTTTCTAGTGTGGAATTTGTGTGCTGCTGAGAGCAAATCGATCCACTGTCCTTCGAGCGGTTCTTGCGTGGACGCCACTGCTAGTGAATGCGAGGCCACCGACTTCTGCAAATACCTTCCGGTTGTCAAGGTCAGAATCCTAAATACAAAAAAAATATGTAAACAGATACAAAATTAGCGCTACCCCCTCAAAGTTATTGGGGCCGAAAGCGCCCTTAGTTAAATTTTAAGGTCGATCTCAGTAACTGAATGTCTGAATGTCGTACAATAGTACCAAAGGGGAACCTTTTGAGTGGCGAAGGGTTCAAATCCCCGAGTGAGTCGAATGGCGTCCCCCTCCTAAATCTGCTATTTGCTAATTCTTCAAAAATTATGCTGCTTCAAGTAAAAAAAAATGTTCAAAAAGTCGTTGAAACTTTTTTTTTCTTGAAGCTCCACTAAGTCAACTACTAATTATACTTCTTTTAAATGAGCTGGAAAAGATGCTAAGTGTTTGAAGGTTTCTGAATTTTCTTCAGTAGCCTAATTCGGACATTTTTCCCTTCTAGTCGGAAAAATACGCATCGAAAAACTTAAAAATCATTATTGGACGAAAAAAAAATTGAAAAAAAAAAACTTCGAAAAAAATTTGATTTTTTGTTTCTCATTTTCAGGAGCATTGCGCTGACTTGGCTGCGAATGTGGCTGCGTTTGACTTCACATGTGTGCCTGACACTTGCAATGACTCATGTGACAGCACGTACCTGTTCAAAGGACAGATGTTCCCTATAAACACCGCAATTGGAGATGGTTAGTGTTACGATGACTCACAGAAAAAAAGAATCAAGGCTGTGACGCAAGTTTTTGCGAAATCGACTCAGTATGTGTTTTCGAATAAAAACCTGTTTAGACCAAATAATCAGAAAAAATGAAAATTTGAAGCTTGTGTCTCCTGTTTCAATACTCTAGCTAGCTGATGGTAACTGAACCAATTTTTAAGTAAAAATTGTATAAATATTGTCGGTTTTGCAAAACATTCGCTGCAGCCAACGAATTTTTTTGGTCAAAGTTTCTTATAAATTATGATTGAAAAAATAATTCACTGATACTAGTGTTTAATTTTAGGCTCGACATGCAAATAAGTTAAGAAAATTATGTTAAGCAAAAATGCTTTCAGAAAAAAATACGAAACAATTTTTGTCCCGCAGGAGTTCGTTGGGGCTGAAATAATTCCAAAAAACAACACTTTTCTCCAGTTTCGCTAATTTTTTTACTGAACCGAAAATGGAGTTGGCTTGAAAAGTAATAGCTGAGAACACTTTCTGCTCGAAAAACTCATAACTTCAAGCCGTTGACTTTCGATTCTTTTAGTTTTGAAGTAACTTCAAATTTTTTCTCATTAGAAAAACTATTTTTGAAGAGCTTCTTTTTAAATGTCAACAACTATCTGAATACTTCAAGATACTTTCTACGTCACATTTTGATCACGCAATTCATTAAAAAACGGTGGGGGATTGAAAGAGTACTGGAATTTTTTAAATTATTGAGTGCCGCTCCTCTGTTTATGTTTTATGGTTACCATCGCAAACCTTGCAAGCTAGTTACGCCACAAACAGCAAAAAATGACTACCACATGGAAAAACTTGTCTTTTAGTCAATTGAGTCTTAAGATAACGTAAAACTAGACTGGTCAGAAAGTGACAGAATTTGATTAATGCTACACTTGCACGGCATCAAAAGGACGACGATTTTAATTAAGACTGTAAACAGCTTCTCTATCTTTCACTTTCAACTCTAATTACTTAAATTACAAAAACTCTGCTGAATGTGCAGTATTTTTTTTTTGGTGTTTGTGTGATGACGTACTTAGCTAGCATGGCTTTTGTACTTGGCGATGCTTACAAATAACATAGACAGAACAAGTGCCACTCGACGATATTCAGCACCGCCCCTCGCTTATTAATGAAAAGCCAGATCAAAATATGACGTTGTTGAAGTATTCAAATTATTGTTGACAAAACAAAACAGGCACTTCGAAAAAAAAATTTCACATTATGAAGTTAATTTTTACTGTTGATTTCATGACGTGTACAGCATAAAAATTGCGATTGTTTTTAATTGGTTTTCATTGCTTTCATGTTAATTGAATTTGTTGCATTTGGATGCTTTTAAATTCAACCTCTTAAATTCATTTTGAACAATGAAAGTTAATTGAATACGTAAAAAGCAGGTTGCTGTGTTCCGAATGTTCCGATGACCTGTAATTTCTTAGAGGACGTGTGAGACGTTTAGCTTGCATTGGATCCTGAATTGTTAACAGCTTCCTTGTAAAAACAGTTTCGTTTTTAGAGTCAAGTGTCAAGTGTTTTGTTAATTTCTATTGTTTTGTCATTAAGGTTCTGTTCCGATTGCGGCTTACCATTTATAATTTTTTAACAATAATTTTCATAAAACTTTTAAAAATTCAATTTTAAAATTTCAGTTAGTTTTCAAAAATAATTTCCCCACATACAATATAATTTACAAAAACGTTTTAGGTTTTCTTAAATGGAAAAACAATTGAGGATATTTTAAAAGGCAGTCGAGACTTTCGGAGCTTCGCCGCGACACGCGTTGTTTTGCTGATGATAAAGATTACTTGATCACTTTTTCCTTTATTGACTTGAAACCATCCTAAATTTGTTTTAGCTTGTCTTTTTGATGGTGTTAAGTGTTTAGAGGCAAAAAGGGGGAACCAGCTAAATTAAACACTCTCATCCTTTCTAGGGACGCAAGTTTTTGAGATTATTATCTTGATCTCAATAGTAAAAAAAAGGTTTAAACTGCAGAGGTTAAAAAAAATAATTTTCTATTCAACTAAAAAAAGTGCCGCAAAGTCCAATAGACTTCGAATAGACACAAACAAGGATAGGTATCTAATTAAGATTAAGATTGAAGGTCAAATTAAGATAATTATGATAACTAAAACACAAATCACAAGGGGTGATTCAGTTTCCTTTTCATAAAGTTGGTTTGAAATTTAAATTTTAGCTGGTGATGCTTGTCCGTTGACTGGCTTCGACACCTCGACGACCGAGTTCCCTGGAACTGCGATGGATGAAACACTGGTGGATCTTATGTGCCATCAGTTCATGTCACAAAGAAGAGAGATGAAACTACTCATGAGATACTGGCAGGAAACTTCGTAAGTGCAATCATAATAACCATAATCATTGAATCAATAATCATTTATCATATTAATCATTAAGCAATCATTAATCAATTGCCCGATCTTTCCCATACATCTGGACTGCATCGAACAAAGTCTAACACTTTTTTTATTACGTCCAGAAAGCCGAAACGACCAAAGTTTGGTCGAGAAAGATCAAACATACCAAATTTTGGTCGAGACGGTCAAAATATACCGGTTGTTGGCCGAAAAAGTCGAAACATAAATCGAACACCTTGACTCAGGTAGCAGTCCCCAGCGAAATAAAACCCCCATACTACAAACAATCTACTGTGGTGGGGTTATAGTTTTTTTCTTTTAGGTTTTGGGGAGGGGGCTGTAAGGAAAATAAGCCCAATTATCAATAATAACAAAAACAATTTTAAGAAAGGCTGATCGGATCTATTGAGATATTTTCATGCAGATAGAAAAAGTAATTGCCATTAATTGCAAACACCAGATACAAACCTAACTTTTCGTATGAGTACATAATGTATTTGTAATTTGAGAATCAACCACTAGTCAATTTTCGTGAC